AACGGGATCGCAACCCTCGGTGTTGCGCCCACACCGCGCTCAGCCAGCAAGCGGGAACCGGTCTCCACATGGGATCCGAACCCTTGGCGGGAGCGCCGCCGCGCTCCCAAGCGGCGCACTCTCCAGTGCGCCACCGGGCCGGCCCAAGATGCCACTTTTAAAAAGTGCAGTATGGAGGTATGTCCCCATAGATAAACTTTCCTAAAATATTTAGAAGAAATGCAATTGCTAGTTCTTAATCTCAAACAACTTGGTTCATGGGAACTGTGTGGTGAGACAGACAGGACCTAATCTGAACATCAATAACTACTCGTTGGCAAAATTCACATTACCATCAAAGGGGAGAAGAATTTAGGGTGAATAATATGGCCTCATTCTCCAAGCTCACCAATTACCTCCCAAAAGCCACAATTTATTCTTTATATACTTATTTTATGGACCTCTGGTATACAGAATTAGATTAAGCATAATCCTAGGTTTATGATACCTTCATATAAATGTCTATAAATGTCTGGTATAATTGGTCAGTTACTTTAATGATGTGATTAGCTCCCATTAGCATACTACCCAAAACAAAATTAAATATCTTAATGATAACCTATATATAGCTATATGGCTCCCCACCCTCTTGTCCCATCCCCCAACTCTCCCCCACCTTAGGAAACCATGATGAATCCTGCATTCATTATGGTCTATTGCGTCAAAATTATTTGGTGACCTTGCTTTACAAATACCAAAGATATACAAAGAAGAAAAACTTATTTTAGGGGAACTAAACCAACAGAATAAATACATAAACCAATTTTACATATCTCATATTTTCAAATGTGGACAATGGTCTTTATTTTCCAAAATGTTTAGCATAATGCTACTTACCTATGGATTCTTACCCAACAAGCACTACCATTAAAAACATATTAAGAAGCTGAGAATCGTGGAAAAAAAAATATCATCCGAGCAATAAGAAATAAGTGTGTAAAGGTATACATATAAGGTAAGTATCTACCCATAGAAGAGCTTCCTAACACACAAGAGATGAAGCTGCAATTTAGAAAAAGAACGGGAGGGGGTATTTAACAAAACCCTTTGCAAAAGGTCTTTGCCAAAAGACCAAATAAATGTACAGCATGAAATAGGCACAAAAAGTTCTAGAATCATGTAGTCAAAAGCAAATGAAACGTCAAATCAAGGACACTAAGCAAATCATAGTTTATAACAATAAATTGAGCAAATGACATTAATTTTGTTGACACCATCAGAGACATATAAGCTAAAGCTGTGTTCAGTATTCTGTCCCTAAAACAGGGAAAGTTGTCATAGTTCTAAGAATAATGGGGATAGGTCTGAGTTAGCTCAAAACTTCTGTTATGGAGGAAGAATTTATCCTCTCTTGATAATGAATCCTTAAGTGAAACAATGGGTAAAGCCACTGGCACAATCTCACAAAATAAAATAAAATGACATAAAACAATAATGTAATCAAATAGCATAAGATTTTTTTATTTATTATCAAGAATCTTGGCATATGATTAAAAAGACATTAAAGTCCATGTCTATGGTTATGTTTTATTGAATACCTTATTTAATTCTTCTTTGGTGAGAGATGCAAAAAGGGTCTTTCTGAATTTTCCTTCTTTATATTTCTGAGTAATGAAGGTTTTTCTCTTTTCTACTGGTGAGTCCACATGTAATTCTTCATCCTTTTGAAGATTACCAGCCCAAAAGTCATTTGCTCTTTTGTTTCCAATGACAATAAAAAGCTGAATTGTGAAAAAAATTATAAACCATGTCAGTTTACAAATGCATTTGAATCTGCAGAAAACTGACTCATATTACAAATTAAAGCACAACAGTATAAAATCTTTTTTTTAAAAAAAATGAAATGCTGGGGCCGGCCCAGTGGCGCACTGCTACAGTGCGCCGCTTGGGAGTGCGGTGGCGCTCCCACTAAAAAAATGAAATGCTGGGGCCGGCCCAGTGGCGCACTGCTACAGTGCGCCGCTTGGGAGTGCAGTGGCGCTCCCACCAAGGGTTCGGATCCCACATACAGACCGGTTCCCGCTCACTGGCTGAGCGACGTGCGGCCGCAACACCGAGGGTTGTGATCCCGTTCCCGGTCCAGTACGGGCGCGACACTGAGGGTTGTGGTCCGTTGCCGGACACGAAAAAAGACAAAAAGGAAAAAAAAAAAAATGAAATGCTCAACTCCTTCAGAGAGATGAAGTGAAAGCAGAAACTATACCTATTTTTCATACAGACTAGTTGCTCTATATAAATGGTTAAAAAAAAACTAGTTCAGAAAGAAATTGCAAACACAAATAGCAGCAAAAATATTCTTTGAGACGCATATTGAGACAGATTCATTTGAAATGGGTGAGTAGGTGGGCTAATACCGTCTAGAGTGAGTAGCAGTGGAACAGGAGAAGAAAATGGAGAGACAGCAGGTTAGAGTCAATCACAGTGAATGACAGAGCATGGCCAAGATAAAGAACAGTATATTTTGCCAAACGCTTTCTTTCACTTTTCTAATATTTTATATATACATGCTGGGTTCAAAAGAAAGAGTTCTAGCTTTTAAAAAACTATCAAGCCTTTTGAAGTAGTTATTACCATTAAAGTTCTTTTCTACTTTTTATTTTTAAAATAACTATCTCATTTAAGAAGCATTCTGAAAGAGTTACTACTATCAAACAGGCTCCCTGCCATTTCCATAGTATGGTGAGAACATTATCAAAGATCTCCTAAAGAAATTCATGCCACCACACTGGATAGCTCCTCCCCAGTCTCCACTAACCACCACCACAGTTAAATGGGAATTACCTCAATTAGTTCATTGCTCCAAATGCTCGCATCCATTTTTAGACTTCTAACTTTGGAATCTTTTGGTCCCAAAGATCTATGGTGTCCTGAAGCCAAAAAAAAAAAGAAAAGAAAAAATTGCATTTCTATTTCAATTTGCATGTAAATTTATTTTACCTTTTTTAAAGAAATGTGTAAACATATGTGAATATTTATTTGTGTATGTATATATATTCTCAACCCTAAAAGACACCAATATATATACTTTCCCAAGTGCCAAAAGCACTAAGAGTCATGGTGTTAAATATACAGAAATCATAACCAACCATAATAAAGATAAAAGCAATCATCTTCAGTACCACCTTGCATTGGCATAAAACTGCACTTTAAAAGAATATATATGTATGTATGTACACATGTGTATGTGTGCGTGTGTATATATAACGTATATAATTTGTCCTTATTTACTAATTAGCTAGAAATGGTAGGCCACTGAAAACCTTTTATAACAGGTCTATGTAAATCTCATGTATTTGAATAGAGATAGTATTCCTTTACTAGTATTAAAAAATACTAGTTACAATTCTAATAAATATGTACTTAAAATAATCAGATGTGGATTCTTTATCCTACTATTACATCTGGGAGAGAATAAGAGCCTGGCAATTCTATCATCACTAATCCAATGGTGCTGTATAAACCATCATTCAGTCATTACTTGGAGCCCAGGCATGTGTCAGATATTTTCTAAGCAGAGAAGGAAAAAAGATAGACAAGACACTGTCCTTGGTCTTAAGGACTCTGCCTCATAAGCACTGAAAGCTCACTCCTATCTCTACATCAAGTAAGAGGTTCTTTTCCTTCCTTTGAAACGGAAACTACTCAGAGCACAGAGCCCTAGAATTCTCATGGCAGGAATTTGCACAGGTTTGCATTTTTAAAGACTACCTAAAGCCAACACTAAAAAGAAAAAAAAAATAAAAATAAAAAACTTAGATGCCTGTAGGAAGAGCTGACAGGACTGTTAGAATAATGTAAACAAGAAAGAATAGAATCCGAGTTGAGACAGCAAAAGAAGAAAAAAAAAATGGAAAGGACAGATTCAGAGACACTGAGAAGATAAAACTACTAGGACTTGGTGGGCTTTAAAGGAAAGCAGAAGGGTCAAGACGGTCTCTCACATTTTAGGCTTAAGTAGAGAGTAGACAGTACTGCTTCTGACCAAGAAGTATTTCATACATTGGGAATGTATGAAAATGTGCAGTTTTATGTAATAGTCTGGGGGCAGCAGTGAGAGCTGCATTTTTGACACTGTTTTTGAAGGATCTTTGGCAAATCTTAGTAGGCATATAGATATAAGAATCTGAGTGAGAATCATCTGCTTAAAAATACGTGTTGAGGGCCGGCCTGGTGGCACACTGGAGAGTGCGCTGCTTGGGAGCGCAGCGGCGCTCCCGCCGAGGGTTCAGATCCCATGTGGAGACCGGTTCCCGCTCACTGGCTGAGCGCGGTGCGGGCACAACACCGAGGGTTGCGATCCCGTTACTGGTCAGTAAAAAAGACAAAAAGAAAAAAAAAAAATACGTGTTGAATTCAAGTGATAAATAACCTCCCTCATAAACAACAGAGTGAAAGAGAGGTGAAGATACAACCCAAGGGAACACAAATATTTCAGGAGCATGAACAGGAAAAGTAACCTGAAAGAAAAATGATTATCAGAAGTAAGAGCACACAGAGAGAGAATGGTATCTTGGAAGTTGAGGGAGGGAAGATCAGAATGTACTCTGAACAGCTTGCATCTTTGAAGATTTGTCCATTTTTTTCCCAATCTGGCATGGGTCTCAAATACTACAGAGAAGACAAAAAAGATAGGAACTGACCACATAGAAAATGAGAGGTAGAATACATTGATAAAAGTGGTGAAAATATGTTTACTGGAGTAAAGAGAAAAGGCAGCTAATTACAGACTAAAAAACTAGGAAGTTTGAGGAATGAAGAAAACCTATGCAGACTACTGTTCTTGAAAATGTCTAGAAAGGGAGAAGGGACAAAGAATGATACATACAAAGAAATGAAAAGTTTTCAGAAGGCTTGATCGTGTTAACGAAACAGACTTATGCAAATTTATGTGATGAAATTAAAGAAACTATGGATGAATACTTACGTAAGACAGTGAATTAAATGACGGGATGAGGACCCTAAGGAAAAGGAAAGGAAGGAAACAGAAAGAACAGCCTTGGACAACACAAGAAAAGGATGGGGAAAAATACAAAGCAGAAGGCGATTAGCTGATGTTTTTTGTTGTTGACTGACATTGTTAATTGGCTGGTGAGGAAATCTATCTTAGTGTGATGAGAAATGTAGTCTAGAAAAGAATTAAGGGTTTGAATCAATTATTGTGGCTGAACTATTCATTGTCTGTGCTCTAGCTAAGTCAGGTTATCCTTTTCTATATTCTCCTACTGCATCTTGTATTCGACTCTAGTGCTGCACTTCCCACACTCTACTGTAATTATACTCATATAGTAGATAAAATGTCACGTTTCACACATCTTTTTAATTTCCCAGACCAGTACAGTAGCTGGTATTCTGTGTGTGTGTGTGGTGGGTGGGGGGGGGGATTGGAGACGGGGGAAGAGGTAATTCCAGAAAGTTGAAATAAAGTTTAGATTATGGTTAACCTTCTTCAAGATGACTATGATCACACACCTAAGCTGTGGTCCATTTGCCTCCACTCACTTGGACAACTGTCCGATCTCCCAAATACACTGAGGTGTCAAGTAGTCAGGTGTAATGTCACAAAAAGAAAACCAGTGATAGAACCGGTTATCTTCATAAAAATCGATACTCTTCTGAAATTCTCCTACGTAAAAATTCTTACTATACGAGATATCAGATCTAGTATACTGGGTTTAGAGCTCAGAACCACCTTGATGTGAAAAATATGTCCTATAAAAATGATTGGCAGCCTGTTGGTTGGCCCAGTTAGTTAGAGCACAGCCTTGAAACACCAAGGTCAAGAGTTCGGATCCCTGTACCAGCCAGCTGCCTATATATATATATATATATATATATAAAAAGATAAAATAATTGGGGTAAAATGGACAAATTTTCATGCAAAGATGACAGCTTGATCAGGGTGCATTCTGAAATACACTCACCTGAAATCTACGAATTTCTTTTTCATTTTTTTTTATAGATAGTAGATTAGCATAAATTTTTACTTTTTAAAATTTTTATTTTTTTTTAAATTTTATTATTACCAATGTATTTCAACACTGTCTTTTTAAAATCCACATATAGACTAGAAGGCAGAAAATGTGATTATATGCTTAAAAATCAATTTTTACATCTAAGTCATGCATAAGAGAAGTTTAGGATTATAAGATATTTCTGAATTTGATTGAAATGCAATAAGCTTTCTCTGGTTTCACTTTTCACAACCATTAGCTAGGACACATTACAAATGACAACAAAGAGCATTCAGTGCCAACCTGCCACATAGCAGTGATGAGCATAACTTATCACTAATTACCTGCACACTTCTTACAGATGACAACACAGAGATTGATGGATGCCCAGTCAGGATCCGGGGCTGTACAATCTGCACAGCTCCTGTTAGACTCATTGAACCAAATCTTCTCAGCTACTTCATAATCAGAGAGAGTTTCTGCTATCGATTGCTGCACAGCTTCAATCCAGTCTTGTTTCTCTTTTTCAGACTCGGCTGTAAAGCTGAAACAATTAACATTTCAGCATTATCGATCTCCCTTGTAAAGGCCAATTAAGCAGTATGTTCAGTTTGCATATTCATTTCACTCACAAATTAAATAGCAGCTGAAAATATATCTTCCAGGCAGTTCTGGATTGTCTTTTTTGTTAAAAAGTAATCTAACAGTTTGGTTTTTGGGTTTTTTTTGGTGTTTTTTTTTTTTTTTTGCTTTTAATTTTCCTTATTGCTTATGATTTTGTTTACATATCATGAACCATAATGAACATACAGTTTTCTGACCAGGATATAAAAATTGCCTTGTTAGGTCAAAAGCTTAAGTGAGAGAGCACGTTTCCTAAGCAATGATTATATGATAATCAATAAGAGACTGGCAAAGTTTCAGGACTGTTGGAATATTTTGCCAAGTATGTATTCCACAATAGCCTAAAACTAAATTATCGAAAACACCCACTAAAAAATGTGATTTTTTTCAGTCTTAAAAATAGATTTTTTTTGTTATTTAATTAGAAGAATGTCCAGATGGCTTTAAGCAACTGAGAAATCAAAAAAGTTTTAAGTGGTTACTATTCTAACAGATTTCTAACTCATTTTTTAGCCACATACTGATTTATCCTGACTCTTAGTGTTTATTGGGAGCTTGAGTGAAAAGCTAAAACATTAAACAGCAGTTCACTCCTTCAAGAAATATTTACAGAGTACCCACAATGTGCCAGGGAATGTACTACGGTGCTATATAATCAATGACCTACAAAATGATACTTCACATTAAATTTTTCTCTTCTAAAGATGAAAATGCTTTGAAATATAATGAAAATAACAGTTGGCTAACATATCCTAAATAATCCATAATAATAATGTATGGCCTACAGGTACTTTATGATTCTATCATCGCTATAATATTGATAAAATTCATACTGGTTTCCAGTTCTATCAACGATTGCTTATAGCCAATGTCTATACTTGTAGTTGAGGCTAGAATCCGCATATATGAAAATAAAGCCTGTTATCCTTTATGCAATCATTTCTTTCTCAAAATTTGAACCAGTTGACATATTTTAACAAAATGAGTAACAGACTTGGTAGTATCTTTGAAATTCTAAGTAACTGTTAGTCCTTCAAAGGCCTAGAACAATTGCCTCTGACCTGCACACTACCTTGTGTGTTGATTATTTGTGACAAATAAATTAGTGTAGCTGAACTCAACAGATATTGACTTATGTCTATTTTGTATACTAAAGCTATGTAGTCATTATAGATTACTAAAACATTTTAAGTACTTTAAATTTTCTGTTTCACTGTCATGATACAATTATCCGAATGCAAGATATATAACAAAATGCTTTATTTTTATTTGTTTCAGTAAGTGCTATGAGATCCATTAAATTTAGTATCTTTTTAAGCTAGAGTCCCTAGAGGAAATCATATGAAGCAATTGTAATTAGGGATTGATCTTAAAAGAGAGACTGTATTTGATTAGGCTAAAAGAAAGTAAATACCAATACAACTTAAAAACAATGTAACATGTTCTTTCTATTTTATACATTCTAAATGTTAAAGAATTTGTCACATATTTGTTGATAAAAAATTAATATATTCACCAAGTCTTTTAAAAAAAGAGGTATTAAGAAAAGAAACCACTCAAATTTCATGAAATAAATATTTTTTCAGGTTGTGTGATTATTCAGGTCACTTTTGCAAGATGCTTTTATATGCTGGCTAATAAATTAGACAATATAGAAAAGTAAGAAGATGATTTTAAGTGTCCTATAAGAGATAATATCACTACTAGAAATTTAAAGGAAGACCACTCAATCTTTCCTGTAGTAGTACAAACACAAAATGTTTAAAAAGAGCTTACCTGAAACTCCGATAGGGAGTGATTATTTCAAAAGATTGTTTCACAGTTCGGTCCACTTGCTTTACATTTGCTACATTCATAGGAATTATGGTAATACCAAGTCCACTCTTAAAATCCTAGTTTGAAGAAAAACATTAAAAACTATGAAGAAATAAAAAATGGATTTTGAAAGTACCATATTTTCTTTTTCTTTTTTTTTTTTTTAAAGATGACCAGTAAGGGGATCTTAACCCTTGACTTGGTGTTGTCAGCACCATGCTCGGCCAGTGAGCGAACCGGCCATCCCTATATGGGATCCGAACCCGTGGCCTTGGTGTTAACAGCACCGCACTCTCCCGAGTGAGCCACGGGCCGGCCCGAAAGTACCATATTTTCTAAAATCCAATAAATCCTACCAGATTTTACAACACATATGTATGTGGTATTAAACAATTCATTAGAAAATAGATTGAGAGTGGTTTTCTCATTTTAGGTAGTCACTCCTGATACACGACAACGCTGTGCCCATTCTAACCTTGACAGTCTGGCTACTGATAAAGTACAGGTATCTTTCATATGAAAGATAAATTGTCTAGGCCATGGATACTGAATACATATGCCTTGCTTTTGAAAGTAGGCACTTTACTTCCTTTATCCATTCAGTAAAGGAAACTAATAGTTAACTAACCCTTACCATATGTCAAGCAGTTTTCTAGATGGGGGAGCCAAATGACACTGTAAGGTTATCATACTTATTATTTATATAAAAAGACAGGGAAACCAAGGCTCAAAGAAATAAAACTACATGGAACGTGCAGCTAGTTGTGCATGATAGAAAGGAAACGAAGCCCAAGCTGATTATTCTTTGTTTTACTGTATCAGATTTCCTCTGCTGTGGCACATTATTTTGCTGCTCATTTACTTTCAAACAAATGGATTACTTGTTTTATGAAGTATCCAATTTTATTTCATTTCCAATATTTTATTGCTTTCTTATTCCTTCAATCACATTCTTAGAAAGCTCCTCTCATGTTGCTTTGGTAAGAAAAGTACCATTCGTTCAACATCTATAGCCACTATGTTCAGCTTTTGTCACGAAAATTAGAAATTGCTCAAAAGGCTACAGAGAGATTGCATTTTAAAAGCATTCAAGTTTACAATGTATTGTCTACTTATACAATGGATTTTGACTTATCAAATAATCTCAACTCTTTACACAATATAGTCTGTAGCTCAAAAAAGGAATTATCTATGTGAAGATTCAGAATAAATATGCTCTGAATTTCTGAATTAAATTGTGACTAGGAAAAAGTAGCCATACAAACAGCAAAATACAAATATATCTGTCCATTCTCAAAAAGGATGCTTGGCAGAGACTGTGAATGGGCCAATTCACAGGCCTCTTTCTCTCTGCCTCTACCATTCTACAGGCTAAAAGTAAAAGCACTGTATTCCCATCTCCCTTACACCTAGGAGGAGTCCATATGTCTTAGATTGGGCTAATAAGCTATAGATAACTCTTGGCAGTGGCGAGGAGGGAGACAAAGAAGCCCTAGTTTTTTTTTATCTTATCAATACATGATGTGGTTGATTTTCGTGTCCCTTTACTGAATCCTCCCTCCGCCTCCCTCTCCCCCCTCATACATCAACATATCTGTTCGCTTGTCTCAACAAGTTCAAGGAATTGTGATTGTTGTGTCTTCTTTCCCGCACCACCCGCCCTGTCTGTGTATTTAATTTATTTTTAGCTCCCACAAATAAGTGAGAACCTGAAACAATAAAACTCCTTAAAGAAAACATAGGTGAAACACTCCAGACAGTGGGACTGGGCTCAGACTTCATGAATACGACCCCAAAAGCACAGGCAACCAAAGGAAAAATAAACAAATGGGATTATATCAAACTAAAAAGCTTCTGCACAGCAAAAGAAACAATTAACAGAGTGAAAAGACAACCAACAAAGTGGGAGAGAATATTTGCAAAATATACATCTGACAAAGGATTAATATCCAGAATATACGAGGAACTGAAAGATTAATATCCAGAATATACGAGGAACTGAAATGACTTTTTTTTTAATGTACAGGTTTTTAGTCAGAATAAGGAAATGACTTATGTAGAAAACAAATCAGTTAGATATTATTTTTTTTCTGATAACAAGTGGCTCATTTTTGCCAGGAGAAACAAGCCAGAAATTAAGAATCAGTAATATAAAAGAAAAGAGGCAGAGAAATGCTGAGTGCTATAAAATAATTAGAATGGGAGTGCGATATTTCCACTTTGTGTAGTAAGCCCGCTTAATGAAAAATAGAACTTAACATGATCTATATGGAGTGAAGGGGAATCAATCTTTTCCAGTCTGCCACATTTTAATAAGTTTCAGCATATCAGCACAAGGTTGTACTTACTTACTAAATTAAAAAAACAAATTCCCAGTTACCCATACTGCTGGATAATGTAACCTGGATAAACTCCCAATGTATGTGATTGGAAACTCAAGCTCTCTTTTATAAATGAGGAAATAAGGAAAGAATAGCAAGATAAGATACTTTTAAAAAGCTTTCTGATGGCTCACCCTGATACAGGGATAAACTCTGGAATGAAATACCCGTACTTCGACTCTATGTTCTTCAAACAATTATCCATAATGAGGCTTTTGACATGAGCTGGATATCAGACCACTCCACATAATATTCTCCAATGGGGGCCTGGCCTGCTAGTTCTGTCTGTTACTGAAGGTAAAGGCACATAATACCCTGACCATCAGACCAGCAGATGGTGAGAATGACAACATTTTATGGAAACTGATGAGCCTCATCAAGGTTCCTTCCTGAATGGATGTCCCCTTATCTCCACAAGCAAGTCATGAAATATCTACATATAAATCTGTAATTTCTGTTAAGTAAGTGAGGGGCAGCTAAATGCCCCAAATTTCTCCCAAGCAAGGCAAAGGTGATTTTTTTCACCTAGAAAATTGTAACCCATTCATCAGCTACTTGCCATGGCCATATGGTTTTGATTAATTAGAGTATCCACAGAACTCACCAGCACAAATTGACTGTAAAGTATACATACACCAGACTAACAAAATAAATGTCAGTGTTCTTCAGAGTTATTAAATATGAAACTGCATTTTCAATTAAAAATATTTTTGGTGACACTAAGCTATTTTCTTCAGACAGTATTTAGGACATACTTAGAATATTTCTCATTCCTACATGCTCATCAAAATTACCTGTGGCGGGCCGGCCCGC